TTACCCAAAAATCAGACATATGGGTGGAAATTTATGTACAAAGTTAAAATACTTGAGGTGATATGTTAGTGAGTAAGTATAAACAATTTAATATTCCAAAAGGTCAGTGATCATACCTGGAGTATTATGTAACTATTAAAATTCCCAGATTTTGGATCTCCTTAGTGGAGTAGGGGTTAAATCTCAGTATTGTCACCTCAGATCGGCCTCAGTTTGATCTCCAGCCAGGGAAATAACCCACATATGGCGCAACAGATCTGTCCTGTCTCACTTACTGCTCCCCTTAGCAGTATATTTCAGTGGATCTGCCTGTTCTACTCCCCACTCTCTCTGGTGAATTACTCCCTTCTTTCCCTCCCCCCTACCCCGCACCTTTGGCCTATACCCCAGCTCTTCTATGCATAAATAAATAAATCTTTAAAAAAATTCTCAGATTGTTAAAAGTTTATAGTATAAAAGGGGAATAAATTAAGTTATACCATTCTGTATGTAATGTAATTCTAAGTATCAATGAAAAATATATATACAAGCAGAATATTATATCATGTATATTTTGGATCTGTATTGAGGAATTTTGTGGGCTTTGTTCATATTTTTGTGTGTATTTAAAGTTTTCTAAAGTGTATATTTTGTAATCAGACAAAAAGCTTGTATCCATCTGAAATAGACAATTTTTCAGACTCAGAAGAGATCCAGGAGTGAATTTCGTCATATGTAAATAGTTACCTATATTTCTCCTTGGGTGGTTGTAAGCCTGACAAATAATATACACTCACTGTATTTTCTCCCCCTGAGTTTGGGTTATTTTCTTGTTTCCTTGCATCTCTCATACTTTTTTGATAACATTACTCTGGATTTAGAAATTTTTTTCTCTGCAGGTTGTTGTTTGGTAACTTTCGTAGGCAAAATCTTGGATCTGTCCTTCTACAGTATGCAGCCACTAATATCTCTACTTAGTATTTTATTTTAATTTTTAAACTTGGCTTAGTGTAGGACTCACCCCTGAGTATGCATAGCCTGTGGTCAGCTAATGCCTGGACACATATTGTCCTAATGTCTTGCATGGTAAGACTTTTGTTTCTGCCTATGCATCTGTGTCAGGGTGTGTATTCACAGTTCAACCTTTTCCACATCTATCCCAGCTCCTTTTTTTTTTTTTAAACTATTTATTTATGCAGGACCTCCCTGCTGGTGCTAGGGGTTAAGCACCACACTATAAAGCAATCCGCAGCCTCCACAGCACCGGTTCGATTCCTGGCCAGCCAGGGAGAATCCCACGTGGCGAGGCAGACCTCTCCTGTCATGCCTGCTGCTCCCCTTAGCAGCGTATTTCAGTCAGTCTGTCTGTACTGCTCCCCACTTTGTCTCTGGTGAATCCTCTCACCCCTCTGCATCTCTGGCCTGTACCCAGCTCTTGTATGCATAAATGAATAAATCTTTTTAAAAAAGATTTATTTATGCATATTGGGGTATAGGCCAGAGGTCCAGGGTGTGAGAGGATTCACCAGAGACAGAGTGGGGAGCAGAGCAGGCAGATCAACTGAATTCCACTGCTGAGGGGAACAGCGGGCAAGACAGGTCTGCTGTGCCATATGGGTCAGCTCCCTGGCCTGGGATCGAAGTTAGGCCACAATGGCTGGAGGATAGCTTGATAGTGCTCCTATCCCAGCTCTTATTTTTCACTTGTATGTTTCCTTATCCCCTGTCCTATGTGAAACTCTCTGGTTGGCCAAGAATGTGGATAGCTTGTACCTTTAGTCTGCTCTGCATGTGTGCTGCCCAGAAGGTGAGTGTTACAACTTCAGGCTAGTAGCCTTCCAAGTTTGCCTGTCACAGAGATGATCACTTATTTCAAAATTGTCATTTATGCTGTTGACACCACTGAGTGTGGTCTTTATCTAATTTCTCTAAATCATGTGTCTTTTTTATGCTGATTTCAAAGTTGCCAGTTTGCTCAGTCTGCCAAATCATCTGATTTTGGGGAGTGGGAGAGGGGGCAGAGGAGTACCAGACAAGAATGGCACAGACTTGCAATGTCACTACCCAAAATTGGGCGTTCTCAGATTATTGTATGCCTTTTATTGATTTGCAGAGTGCTAAAATAGCATTTTTTATCATTTTGTCCAACTGTGTTATTGCTTTTTTGGATGGAGAATTGTTGACTTAACTAACTTGGCGGCAGAATTCTGAGGATTTTATTTATCATCTATCTTACATCTCTGTCTTCTTGTTCCATACTTTGTATTGGTTCCAAAGGACTTAGTGGATGACAGACTTGAAATTAGAAATCTAACAATTATATTGATCTACAAGTCTTAGAATAGCAATCTCAGTACTATCACTGTATGTATGATTACTGAAACTGTATTCCGCACTTTCTTTTTTGCTGTGTTCTCCTGCCCTCCTAAATAGTTGTTTTTATTTACGTTGTCGGAGCATATAGCCATTACATGGCTATATACTTAACTGCTAGCCTTTTTGGTTCTTACGGGCAGAAGTTATTGTATTATCCTTTTATTACCATTCTGATAGCAGATGACCAGTAAGTATTTAAATTTTAATGAAATGAACCTCATAAAACGGAATAACTATGTCTTTAGTTTTTTTAAGACCTACTTTATATTAGTATATTATTTCATAAAATTTTATACTTTATATGGGCCTCCCTGGTGGTACAAGGGTTTAAAACGCAGCACTATGAAGCTGTCTGTGGCCACTGTAGCATGAGTTCGATCCCCGGCCAGGGAGTTGACCCACATAGCACAGCAGACCTCTCCTGTCTCATCTGCTGCTCCTCTCAGCAGTGTATTTCAGTCATTCCGCCTGCTGTGTTCCCCACTCTGTCTCTGGTGCATCCTCTCACCTCCCCCATTCCTCTGGCCTCTACCCCTGTTCTTGTATGCATAGATAAATAAAAATAAATCTTTTTAAAAAAAGTTTTATATTTTTATTTAATGGGTTATGGATATTTTTTAAAGACTTCGTTAAAATATACAAAAATTGATTAAAAATAACCTTTTTGAAAAATTCTCCCATGCATTGCTACATGGGAATTTTCCTTTTCTACAGAGTACTGTGCTGAAAAAAAGGATTAAGAATTTATGCACTGTAGGGCCTCCCCGGTGGCACAGCGGTTGAGCGCTGGGTTGCGAAGCTGCCCTCAGCCTCTGCGGCGCCGGTTCGATCCCTGGCTGCTCCCCGGCCACCGGAGGAGGGTCCCGCATGGCGCGCAGACCTCTCCTGCCGCCCGCTGCTCCCCTCAGCAGTGTACTTCGGTCCTTCTGCCTGCTCTGCTCCCTGCTCTGGCTCTGGTGAATTCTCTCACCCTCCCGCGCTTCTGGCTGTACCCAGTGCATGTACAAACAAAACAATCAAACAAACAAATAAAAAAATTAAAAAATTAAAAAAAAAGACATGCCTCTATTAAAAAAAAAAAGAATTTATGCACTGTAGATAAACAGTAAATAGAGCTATTAAGTAAATAATAGGTACTTTGAATGATAAATCCCGTTAGAAGTTAACATTGACTCTTTAGTAGAAAAGGCAGTATTTATTTTTCTGGGACTGGCAGTTTTAAACTGAGCACCGTTTTGGGGATAGGAAATAATGGTTGTTTGCAATTCCTCTGGTGAATCCTTTGAGTTCGGGAGGTGGTGGGGGGTTGTTGAATTAAATACTATATATGTGGTTTCTGTATTTAAAAAGGGATTTCTAACTTCTTTTCTATGACCATTGTGTTGTATAAGCAAAGGCATAACTTATTAAGGTTCTCAGTGAAGACCCTACTCTTTGCCAGAACTTTCTCCACTTTTAATAGTTTAGAGTGCTTAAATGGAATTAGACTTTTCTGTGAATGCAATCACTGTGAATAGTCCACTGCACTGTTTAGCTTTTTCTGGTATCTTTTTTTGAACCTCAAGATGGTAGTATGATAAAAGTCTTTACCAGGTGACAAAAATGCCATTAAGTGATTATGGCTTAGCAATGATTGAAGTGGGATTTGAATTCGTATCTCTTAATTCTCAGTTTAGCACTTTCCATATTCTGTTTCACAAACTCTGATTCAGGGTATTTTCTTAACTCTTTCTGAGTCTTCTTAGGACTATTTTGGCAACCACTAATTTTCTCATTCATAAAATGAGAGTTTAGTTAGATTTTCTCATGTTTTCTTAGTGATGTGAATCAGTTTTTATTTTTTTTTAAGATTTATTTATTTATGCATACAAGAGCCGTGGTACAGGCCAAAGATAGAGGTGAGAGGATTCACCAGAGACAGAGTGGGAAACAGAACAGGCAGGCAGACTGAAATACACCACTAAGGGGAGTAGCAGGCGAGACAGGAGAGGTCTGCTGCAACGTGTAGGTTTCTCGCTGGCCGGCCCGGGATCGAACTCGTGCTGCAGAGTCTGCGGATTGCTTCATAGTGTGGTGCTTAACCCCTTGCGCCAACAGGGAGGCCCCCAATGAATCAGTTTTTAGAGTATCGCTGTGTACAATAAGATCAGTCCCATAAGTGATAAAACTGTTCTTGTTAACATATTAATTATTGATTATTAGAATCCTGTTCATGGAATAAATTCATTCTTTGAGGGTTTTTTCCACTACATTGTAAATTCCAGAGGGCAATACCTCTCTTGCCTCGTTTACTATTTACTAGGTTCATAACCTACTCCAGTGCCTTGAATGTGGTAAATTGTCAATAAATATTTGTTGAAGTAATAAATGATACTGTCAGCATGGGTGGAGGCAACATAGTGTTGTAGAATGAGCATGTACATTTGTTGGTGTTATTCCTTTGTTAGATCATAGGAGGTAAATTTAGCAGTTGTTGGGATAATGTATATAAAGTACCAGACATACTGCCTTTTCACTTAAAATGTTAATTTTTTTGAGTCCCCTAGACTTTTATTTTTAACCAAGAGATTTTTATTATACACGCTGGGCACATATGGGTACTCTAGGTTTAATATTAATAACCCTTGTTATTTTTCACTTAACAGCTTTACATGTGGCACTCATAAAAGATGAGGCTGAGAACACGGAAAACTTCTCAGCAATCAAATCAAGTCCAGACACAACGCACTGCCAGAGCAAAGAGGAAATATTCAGAGGTTGATGATAGTCTACCTTCAGGAGGAGAAAAACCACCCAAGAATGAAACCGGCTTATTGTCTTCAATTAAAAAATTCATTAAAGGAAGCACACCCAAGGTAACGGTGTGCTTTTTACTTAAAGTAAAGTAACCTTTTACTTAAATTATCATTAAAAGTGAAGTTTAGGTTGTTTTCTTTGAACGTGTAAAGATGACAAATGTACTATTGCTGAGCATACTTTAAGAAAATACCTACATTTTCTGTTATTTTAGAATATTAACACGTAGAATATTTAATGACTACTGAAGAGAAGATTATTTACTCCATTTACTTAGTGTTCTCTTTTGACAGCATGGTATATAGGAAATAAAAGAAAATTGCCCTATTCATTCTTTTACTAGGGTCATTTCACTTCCATTTTTATATTTTCATTTCAAAGAAAAATTAGTTTCTTATTAATATTATTATTACATCTTCCATTCAGGGAGATGACTTCTTTTCTCAGTCTGAATGCTAACATTTGTACAGTGCAGTTTATTATTTCCTAAAGAGAAAAGAAAGCAACTAAAGAAAGAATGAACACTGACTGATGGTATAAGTTCCAGATTCATACTCTGGACCAAATTGAGTGACCTGAGGAAAGTCATTTATCCTGCCAAGCCTTAGGAAGACAGTAAAATAGGGTAGTGCTGTCTACTTGATCTGTCTTAGAGTTTTCTGATTAAATGGCAAGTGCAGGGAGAGCTTTTTGAGAAACTTTAATAATGCATTCTATAAATAGTGATGTTATTGTATGTAAATTTTATGACTGTTTACAATGTGTGTTTCTAGGAATTATTTTATTTTTTAAAGATTTATTTATTAATGCATACAAGAACTGAGGTACAGGCCAGAGGTGGAGGGGATAAGAGGATTCACCAGAGACAGAGTAGGGAACAGAGCAGGCAGATTGACTGAGATTCACTGCTGAGGAGGGCAGCAGGTGAGACAGGAGAAGTCTGTTGAGCCATGTGGGTAGCTCCCTGGCCAGGGATCAAACTCATGCTGCAGTGGCTGCGGATAGCTTCATAGTGCTACGACTTAACCCCTTGCGCCACCATGGAGATCCATGTATTGTCGATCTTTTATAAAGTTTAGCCTTTTTACAAGTGTGAGGTGATATGTCATTTTTTTGTTTGTTTGGTTGGCTTTGGTTTTCCTTATGATTAATGAGATTGAGTGTCTTTTCATGTGCTTGTTGGTCATGTGTGGATCTTTTGTGAGTTATCAACTCAAACTTTTCCCCATTTGGTGGATGACTGCTCCTGTGATTTCATCAGCAGTCCCTATTGAATAAGTGGCTCTTAAACCTTTAGATCTCAGTCTCCTGTTTCTTTTTATTGGTTGTTGGAAACCAAAAGAACATTTCTTTTTATGGCTTATATCTGTCAATATATATCTCATTGGATATTAAAAATGAAGAGTTTTAGAAATAACATTTATAATTAGGATTATAAACCTAAAACATGTTAATATAAGTAACATAACTATTTTCTGGAGACAAACAACAAAAGTCAGAATCATGACATTTATAATTTTGTAAATCTAATGGTGCCTTAACAGAAGGTAGTTTGTTACCACTGAAGCATATAAAGGAAAATATACTCAAATGTATTTAGTAAAGAAACTGCAGTTTGGGCCTACCGTGGTGGCGCAGCGGTTGAGCGCTGGGTTGCAAGGCTGCCCGCAGCCTATGCAGCGCCAGTTCAGTCCCCGGCCACCGGCGAGGGTCCCACAAAAAAAAAAGAAAAAAGAAAAGAAACTGCATTTTAATGTCTTTTTTAGAAAACTGGATATTGTGTTGAATACTATACCAAAAATAGACAAGTAGTATAATTTCTTATTGAAGATTAAATTTGAAGGGACTGTACTGATCTTTTTGTTGGTCTGTCTCTCACTTGGAATGGAATTTTAGCCTATCTAAGAATTCGTAATTTTATGCACTGTTTATTTGGAAAATTTTGGCTCAGTGAATTATGCAGATCTTCTGCATGTATTCACATTGACATTTCGTTAGTCAATATTAAAATATTACAGTTGTGAGCGTGCCCACTGTTCTCAACAAAACAATCTAAGTTCACTTGTCAGAAAATATCTACTTCAAGTGAAAAATAGAATCCACAGAAAAAGTGGTCTAATTGAGCTAGCAACTCATGCACATGCTTTTATTCCTTCAAGACAATTATGGGGGCCTCCTGATGCCGTAAGGGGTTGGGATGCAGCACTTTGAAGCTGTCCATAGCCATTGCACGCTGGTTCAATCCCAGGCCAGGGAGCTACCCACATGACTCAGCAGACCTCTCCTGTCTCGCCCACTGCTCCCTGAGCAGTGTATTTCAGTCGATCTGCCTGTTCTGCTCCCCACTCTCTCTGGTGAATCCTCACACTCCCTACCCCTATATCTCTGGCCTGCACCTGAGCTCTTGTATATATAAATAAATAAATATTTGGGGGGAAAAAAAGATAGTTGTGGAAGCACAAGTTGAGCGGTAGAAGTGCTTTGTGTATACTTTCCATCTTGTCATACAGAACATTAGCACATATTTACAGGTTGGAATTTAAATTTTCAGCTTCATCAAGGACATTCTTAAATAGATTGGCCCACCCCCAGCAAGTGCATGGCAGTAAAGAAAATAGTAACTAGTGGGTGTCAGTGCCTTGATTTAGGCTGAGGTTGTACTTAGTTACATCCACCACTGCTTTTTGCAAATGTCAACACAAGCTATTCCAGGATAAACTGTGAGATGCAAAAAAATAAAAGCTCACTACTTGTTTTTCCTTTCCTTTTTTTTTTTTTTTAAATATTTATTTAAACAAGAACCGGGGTACAGGCCAGATATACAGGAGGGTGAGAGGTACTCACCAGAGACAGAGCGGGGAACAGAACAGGCAGGCAGACTGACAAAATGCTGCTGAGGAGAGCTGTGGGCAAGACAGGAGAGGTCTGCCACGCCAAGTGGGTTGCTCTGCTGCTGGTGGGATCGAACCAGCACTGCAGAGGCTGTGGACAGCTTCACAGCGCTACGCTCAACCACCTGCGCCACCAGGGAGGCCCCTACTTGTTTTTATTACCTTGCATTCATACTAAATATATTTGATAATTAGTTGATGCTACTAACAAAAACAATCAAAATAGCAAGACCAGCCACATCTGTGAAGCAGAAAAGTTCAATTGTGAAGACTAGATATTGGCTAATTTTCTGTATTTTTGGGTATGTTTTAAATCAGTGAGTTACTTTATCATTGGAAAGTAGAAGTGCCTGTTTCTTTTATTCACTTTTTATTCAGCAAACTTACAGTACTACCTTTTGTGCACGAATATATTATTATATGTCTCAGATACTTCTCAGATACTGTGTACACTTTTCAGTCAGTATAATATGAGACCTTATTATTTTTTTTAATGGGATACCACTGAGAATGATACCTTAATCTTTAAGGCACTTCACTGGCATTTTTTTTGAAGTAAAGAGTTTTTGACTTTTTAAAAACTTCTTTGTACAATAAAATGTTAAATTCCTTTTTAAAAAATTGCTGATCTCCAAAAAATTGCTGAATATACAACTAAATTGGTCCCATAATTGTACTTAAATGTGTTCTAATACATAGGAAACATAAAATGTTTTATGCAGACAAAGGGAAAATATGTTTATTATGGATTCTTTTTTTTTTTTTTTTTAAGATTTATTTTTTATGAATACAAGAGCTAGGGTTCAGGCCTGAAGTGCGGAGGGTGAGAGGATTCACCAGAGACAGAGTGGGGAACAGAACAGGCAGACTGACTGAAATACACTGCTGAGGGGAGCAGCGGGCAAGTCAGGAGAGGTCTGCTGTGCCATGTGGGTTGCTCTCTGGCTGGCAGGGAATCGAACTCAGGCTGCAGTGGCTGCAGATTGCTTCATAGGTTATGTCTTAACCCTTGTGCCACCAAGGAGGCCCTATAGATTCATTTCTAATTTAAATTTTCATCTAGTTTTTGGAGTAGATTTGTTCCTTTATGAATCAGAATTCTGGTGTCAGTTTCTTTTCATCAGTGCTTCAGCCGATTAAAATCAAACCTAATCTTTTTAATCCTATGATTCAATTCATTATTCACAGTAGTAAAGTCACAAATTTTCTTTGTAACTATTTTAAAACTATATCTAAAACAACTATATCCAAAACAACTGTTTTAGATAAAATTTTAAAAGGCAAATTTAATATTATTGCAAAGCAAAACGTCAGAACGGTAGTATTTCCCCACGTAGCTAGAAAAACTTGCGATTTCAAAATAATTTACTGCTTCATAATGAAACTACAGAGATTATAACAGTTGTAACTGTTGTTGATAGCTACTGAGTACATAAATAGTGAACAAAAAGGTCTTTTATATTTAATAATATATTTGCCTTTGTGGTGTTCATTTCTTACTATAGATTTAAAATTCCATCTGGTTATTTTATGCCTAAACAAATACATTTACTATTTCTTCTGCAGATCCTGTAGAAATAGTTTGTCAAGTTCAAAATGTCTAAATAAGTTAAAAGAAACTTTGTTCTAGGTCTCTGACCAATTTTCTAAACAGTTTTAGAGTAATGTGTTCTGAGCCTGTAGTCATTACATACTGTCTTAATCCTCATTTGTTTTAGTTAAATAGATTCTATCTATGTTTGGTATGTTTAAAGCTTTTTCTCCATCCTCATGTCTATAGTCATTTTTGCTGTCTGAAGCTCATCTCATTTTCTAGTAGATGCCACAGAAGGCACTCATGGAAACAATATCCTGTAGTCTTTGTATTTTTCTAATGCCTTTTATGCTTGAACGTCAGTTTTGTTGCACTTCTCTTTATTAAGTGAATTAATTTTACCTTGTTCTGCAGAGGACATTTTCTTTAAATTTTATTAAAACATGTCTTTGTATTTGTGTTTGGAGGTGAGCTGTTTTAAACTGTGCTATTTCAATATGTAATTTCAAATTTGGGGAAAATTTCTGATATTTTTTCTTGTTGCCATTTGCTTTGGTTTCCTTCTTCAATGACTATTTTCTGTCCCTTGGATCTTTGTCTTTTTTTTTTTTTGGTCTAACATTTGTCACATTTGGATTTATTATTTTTTTCCTTTCATTTTACCTTCTATTTATTTCTCTTAATGATAGAATCTATTCTGACTGGGCCTCCCTGGTGGCAAAAGGGGTTAAGACGCAACCTATGAAGCTGTCTGCAGCCTCTGCAGCATAATTTCGATCCCCTGGCCGGCCGGGGAGCTACCTACATCGCTCAGCAGACCTCTCCTGACTCGCCCGCTGCTCCCCTCAGCAGCGTACTTTGGTCAATCTGCCTGTTCTGTTCCCCACTCTGTCTCTGGTGAATGCTCTCACCCCACCCCACACACACACACCTGTGGCCTGTACCTCAGTTCTTGTATGCATAAATAAATAAATAAATCTTTTTAAAAAATTTTTAAAAAACAATCTATTCTGACTGCTCACTTTTATATTTATTCGAGTTGTCTTTATTTCTGAAATGATTTCTTGTATTGTTTCTAATTATTTTGTGCTATCTTTTCATTTCTGATGTTTTCTAATTCATAGATCTCATTATGTTCTTATTGGTGTCTTTTGAAATAAGTTATAATTTGATCTGTTCTGCATGTTTTCTGACATGCTTTATCTGTAGAGGTGTTATTCATTGTGTGTTTGATTACTACAATTTTGTGTGGGATTTGACATTTATACTTTCTTGATACTCTACGTGAGAGTAGTTTTTTTAAAGTTTTGGAAAGTTGTGTGGTTTTTTATTAACTAGCTTTGTTGTTTTGGTGTGGCATTCAAAGAGACAGTGATTGCCCTTTTTTTAAAGATTTATTTTACTTGTTTATGCATACAAGGACTGGGGTGTAGGCCAGAGGTGTGGGGGGTGAGCGGATTCACCAGACACAGAGTGGGTACAGAACAGGCAGATTGACAGAAATACACTGTTGAGGGGAGCAGCGGGCAAGACAGGAAAGGTCTGCTGTGCTATGTGGGTCACCTTCCTGGCCAGGGATCGAACTTGTGCTACAGTGGCTGCAGATTTCTTCATAAACTGAGACTTATCCCCTTGCACCTCCAGGGAAGCCCCTGTGCTATGATTCTTTGAGGAATCATCAAATTAGAGAAATTGCTGAATAAAGTAAAATTCTGCATTGAATAATACTTTCTGTATTGCCGTTTTTCTATTTTGTTCCAGATAGGAAATTTAATTTTGACCATTTATAACAACAGGATTAGTTTTAAAAATTGCAGAAATAGGGCCTCCCTGGTGGCGCAAGGGTAAGTTAAGCACCTCACTATGAAGCAATCCGCAGCCACTGCAGCACAAGTTCAGTTCCTGGCTGGCCAGGGAGCAACCCACATGGCTCAGCAGACCTCTCCTATTGAGCCCGCTGCTCCCCTCAGCAGGGTATTTCAGTCGGTCTGCCTGTTCTGTTCTTCACTCTGTCTCTGGTGAATCCTCTCACCCCCAGCTCTTGTATGCATAAATAAAATAAATAATAAATAAATATTTAAAAATATATATCAGAAATAGTAAAGCAGTATCCAACCTTTTTTTTTTTTTTTAAAGATTTATTTATTTATGCATTCAAGAACTGGGGTACAGGCCAGAGGTGCAGGGGTGAGGGGATTCACCAGAGACAGTAGGTAATAGAATGGGCAGACTGACTGAAATATACTGCTGGCAAGACAGGAGAGGCCTGTTGTGCCATGTGGGTAGCTCCCTAGCCAGCTGGGGGTCAAACTGGTACTGCAGAGGCTGTGGATAACTCACAGTGCTGTGCTTAACCCCTTGTGCCACCAGGGAGGCCCAATATTCAACCTTTTGAAAATGCATAGTGGCATATTACATTATTTGCTGTTGGTGTGAAAACATCAAATACAAAAAGAAGTTAGTTCTGTTGGATAGGAATGTTATATATAATGTGTATGAGATATATATTATAGATTCAGAAATCTAATTCTTAAGAGATTTCAGGCACTCATTGAAATAGCAAGGAATTTATATGTCAGCATTACTGTAATGTAAGAAAATCACACTTGTGGCAGATGGCTTCAGAAAAATTTTGCAAATGAAAAGAATAGCTATAAATGGAGAAAAATTAATAAAGCTATTGCTTGTTTACTGTATTAATCATTAATACTGAAAAGTAATATAACCTGATTCATGTGACTTTGACCTATATTAAAAAAACCGCACACGTGACTGGGCCTCCCTGTGGCACAAGGGGTTAAGATGCAACCTATAAAGCTATATGCAGCCACTGCATCACAAATTCGATCCCCGCCCAGGGAGCTACCCACATGGCGCAGCAAGCCTCTCCTGACTTGCCCACTGCTCCCCTCAGCAGTGGGTGTATTTCAGTCAGTCTGCCTGTTCTGTTCCCCATTCTGTTTGTGGTGAATCCTCTCACCACCACCTCCCCCCACCTCTGGCCTGTACCTCAGTTCTTGTAGGCATAAATTAATCTTTTAAAAAAAATGACTTTGTTAAGGAGTAGACTCTTTAGTTGTGACTTGGACACAGAAGGAAATGAGGTTGGCATTGGAGGATGGCAATTTTGGGCATATTATTTGGTGGCATATTTGGTATTATGTGCTATGACAACAAATTCCAATGGGATTCTCTTGTATATCCTAATAGCTCAAGAAAACAATGTGTTCTTTAGGACATTTTTAAGGATAATGGGAAATTGCTGAATATCCAGAGCCCACTGTACAATTCAGTATTTTGATAGCATGAAAACTTTAATAGACCCTAGGGAAAGGATTTGAATTATGAGGATTTTTAATTGTATTCGTGTATTGAAATTCCATCAGTGCATGCTGCCTATAACATTATCCATTTTTTTTGTGTTTTGTACTGCTGTTGGATATTAATTCCATTTAGTTTCTCCTAAAAGTGAAAAGCATTTACCGAAGTATAACCTATAAGGTAGAGTGACTGCTCAGTGCCTGTTTTTTCCTCTTGTTATCTTTTAAGGAAGAAAGAGAAAATCCTTCAAAACGGAGTAGAATTGAACGTGATATAGACAATAATTTGATCACATCAACACCAAGAGTAGGAGAAAAACCTAACAAACAGATATCTCGAGTAAGACGGAAAAGTCAAGTAAATGGAGGTTTGTTAACATTTAGATACTGTTTTATAAGGTTTGAGCAGAAGTCTCACCTGATATATTTCTTTCTTAAAAAATGAACAATTTCTGCCTAATTTTTATACTCTCCTTTATATTAAACATTAGTAGCATGAAGTAAAATAAAAATTTGCCTTCCTAATATAAATCTACTTGCATAAAAATGACAAGTAAATGAAGTAGCTAGCTTTCTGCTATTTAGCATGAAAATGTATATGGATCTAATTTTTTTTTTACCTCAGACTCATTTCTTAAAGCAGTAATAACTGTGACCTGATTTAATGGAAGTATGTACAAAGAATTTGCTTCTGGATCATGGAATTTCAGAGCTGAAAGGGTCTTGAATTCCTAAGCCCAGTGGTTCTTAACTAGGAATGGTTTTATACTCTGGGGGACATTTGTCAATATAATTTATGTGAGGGGAGATGGGGATGAGTGGGCTACTCGCACCTAATGGATAGAGTTCAGGAATGTTGCTAAGCATCCTGCAATGCATAGATAGGACTGCCCACAACAAATAATTATCTATCCCAAATGTCAGTAGTATTGATAATGGTAAACCCTGTGTTAGGTCAATACCTTATCAAATTTTGAGAAACTTCTAAGGCAAAAAAGGAGAAAAACAAGGACAAGCAGAGAAAGCTATAAGTAATAACTTTATAGCATAGAGAACTACGAACTGCTTATTCTTCCTAAACACTCTGAAATGGTGTCCTGATCTACATAAATGATTTTTGCAACTGCTACACAGCCTTCTGCTTCAATAGAGCTATGTTACCTCTATTTACTTAGCTTTTAGTCATTAGAAATAGATTCCATAATAGGTTTTATAAAGTGGGCAGCATCTGAAAATGTAAAAAAAAGACAAAATGTGGCATTTGTATTTTTGATATTTTAACTTGGGTGCTTTACTTATGAAGAATTAATTTCATTTTCTATGTATGTATAATATATAATCCTAGATGTAAATTACTTGGAAAAAACTCAATAAAATTTAGCATTTATGAAGCATTATAAAGAAATTTATAAAGGTCATTTGATTTACAGTGATTTACCTCAGCTCTCTTTCTTAACATTAATGTTAGTAAGTTCTCATGAAATATTTTTTATAATTAAGTTTAGAACATGTTTCTTGACAGTCATATTTTCTAGATGACAGCTTTTTCTCTCTGATTTCTTAGAAGCTGGTAGTTACGAAATGACGAATCAACATGTAAAACAAAATGGGAAATTAGAAGATAATCCTTCCTCTGGCAGTCCTCCAAGGACTACATTGTTGGGGACTATATTTTCTCCTGTTTTCAACTTTTTTTCACCAGCAAATAAAAATGGTAAGTATAAACCACTAGCCATAATTTGGTTTAAAAAACTAATAGGTATTCTAGTTTTGTATATGATTTGATAGATTTCACTGGCATGTTTTGCCAGTGTCTTATGTTTATATTCAGCTTCATTAAAAATGCATAGCTTGGAAAAGCTTTTTTTATTTATTTCAGGGGGCTGAAATATATAACAGGTTATGATTAATTCTACTGAGTGAATAATTTTGATAAAGTTTGAACTAGAGGGACAGGTTTTTTCCTTTTCTGTCTTGGTATGGCTTCTGTAATCCTTAGAAGCCAGAAATATTTTCAGTATTCTCAATCAATAAAATGGAGCTTGATGAATATTTTAAGTGAACTGAAATGAACTGAAACTGGTTGTTTTTTTTTTTAACGCACTTACTCTTTGTTATCATTTATTTGATGCTCTTCTGCCCCACCCCCCACTTTCAGTTTAGACAAATACTGAAATTACTAATTCAGATGACTTGAAGAATCAAAATTAGCTTTCTTCTGTGTATTTTATTAAAGATTTAGCCAGTGTTCTAGCTGATGATTAATATCTAATTTCATATATAATAATTTAGTCAGTTACTTGAGTGCAATATTGCATCTGCAATGATGGTGATAAAGTATTGGGCACATTGAAAACAGCCATTGAGTGCTTAAGGTCTGATTACTTAAATCCTTGTTTTTATTATGTGTCTGGATGATCGTGTAATTTTTTTATATTCTTTTTTTTGGATTTTTTTTTTTGAAGATTTATTTATTTATATAAGCACTGGGTACAGTCAGAAACGCGGGGGCCTCCCCAGTGGCGCAGCGGTTGAGCGCTGGGTTGCAAAGCTGCCGGCGACCTCTGCGGCGCCGGTTCGATCCCCGGCTGCTCCTCGGCCACCGAAGGAGGGTCCCACATGGCGCGCAGACCTCTCCTGCCGCCCGCTGCTCCCCTCAGCAGTGTACTTCGGTCTTTCTGCCTGCTCTGCTCCCCGCTCTGGCTCTGGTGAATTCTCTCACCCTCCCGCGCTTCTGACTGTACCCAGTGCATGTATAAACAAAAACGAACGAACAAACAAACAAATAAATAAATAAAAACATGCCTCTAAAAAAAAAAAAAAAAAAAAAAAAAAAAGAAACGCGGGAGGGTAAGAGAACTCACCAGAGCCAGAGCGGGGAATAGAACAGACAGACTGATGAAATACACTGCTGAGGGGAGCAGCGGATGTGGGAGGAGAGGTCTGTCGGCACCATGTGGGACCCTCGCCGGTTACCCGGGATTGAACCTGTGCTGCAGAGGCTGCGTGCAGCTTTGCAGCCCAGTGCTCAACCGCTGTGCCACTGGGGAGGCCCAGTGTAATTTTTTTTTAAAGATTTATTTATTTATGCATATAAGATCTGGGGTGTAGGCCACGGGTGCAGGAGGGTGAGAGGAGTCATCAGAGATAGAGTGGAGCTGGACAGGATTTATTGAAATAAACTGCTGCAGGGAACAGTGGGCGAGACAGGGGAGTCTGCTGTGCCATGTGGGTTAGTTTCCTGGCTGGCCAGGCTGGGGATCGAACACATGCTGCAGTGGCTGCCAGTAGCTTCATAGTGCAGAGATTTAACCCTTGTACCACCAGGGAGGCCCTGATAGTGTAATTTTTAAAAGGCATAATGGTGCACTGTAAAATCAAGGTGTGTTGGGGCAAGAATAATGCATAGCAGCACATTGAAGGATTATGAAGCAAAACAAAAACTACCTTTAGCTTTGTTTAACCTTGTATTTCCTAGACATTTACCAAGAATGCTTTTCTGTGGAACATCTGTTAATATCTTATGAACCAAGTGCCCCATATAACATCTTTGGAAATGCTGTTGTAATAAATGAATAGACTTTGGAGTTAATTAAAATTATTATTTTTTTTAAAGATTTATGTATTTTATGCATACAAGAGCTGGGGTACAGGCTGGAGATGCGGGGGGTGAGAAGATTCACCAGAGACAGAGTGGGGAACAAAACAGGCAGACTGACTGAAAAACACTGCTGAGGGGAACAGTGGGAGAGTCAGGAGAGGTCTGCTGTGCCATGTGGGTTGCTCCCTGGCCAGCCGGGGATCGAACTCATGGTGCAGAGGCTGCAAACAGCTTCATAGTTTGTGCCACCAAGGAAGCCCCTTATTAAATTATTTTAATAAGCTAGCCACACTTTAGCCTTGTTACCTTCTATATGTTTTTTTAAATTCTTAGGCCTCTTAATCCATGAAAGAAAATATATTTATCATTTTGAGGGGTGATTTGAAGATTTCTGTTTATTCAGAAAATATCAATCATCTACTGTTTTCCAAATATTTTATCAGTCCCTGAAAATTCAGAGATGATTTACCCATGGGCCTGGCTCTCAAAGAACTTAGATTTTATAAGAAGGAGAGATGTGTGAATAAGCTTAGTAAATTTTTATGGCTGTGTTGATGAAATTATGATGCCCAATTATTCAAAGAATGGCATGGTCCTGTATTCTGGGTGGCAGCCCACAAATGACTTCATAGGAAAACTGAGTCTTGAAAGGTGATAAAGGCCATTCCAGGTAGACAAAGCAACATGAGCAAAAATGTAGTGTGTTTGAAAATCCAAAATTAGTTTGCTACACGTAGAGTATTGGACTTGAGGAATATACAGGAAGGGATAAGAACCAAGAGAAGAAGCCAAGAGAGATTTTGTGTCTAGAAGCCAAAGGAAGAGAGAACTTTAAAACCAGGGTCAAATAATTATAAAGATAGAACTTAGCATGGAAAAGTAATTAGTTTCTTTTGCAAAAACAGATTGGAAGCTTAATAACCTCAGGTTAAAGGAGTGAAGTGGAGAATAAGAAAAGAAGCAGCGAATGTGGATTGCTGTTACGAGTAATGACTATGAATATGAAAGAAACTGGAGAAATCACAAAATCTCAAGGGATAGTTTGTGAATCAAGCATGTTTTAAGTGTCAGGGAAGGATCTAATAGGAATGGTTGAAATATTGGGAAAAGAGTAACTAAGAAAGACAGATTGTAGCATCTACTACAGAGATGGGACAATAGAATAGGTAAAAGGACTAGAATGAAACAGGGAGAAAAAAGTCCTTTTTTCTTCTGTTGCTGAAAGAAAGAAACCGTGAAGGTGTATGCAGAAATAGATGTTTGGGCAGAAGTTGTTGGTGTTGTAGGCTTTTTTTTTTTTTTTTTTTTTTTGAAAGATGGAGTCATGCTGAGATAGTCTGACAGGGATTGATAACGGTGAAGGTTTAGAATGTTTGTTCTTGGGAATAGTTAAAAGACGCTGATTGAGACAAACATGCTGAGCACTGTGATGAATGCCTAGGTAAAATTAGAAATTAGAAGTAGTGTTTAGAGTACAACGTGTCTTTATAATTGTATTGTTTCCTTTAGTAGCCTAGGACTGGTGCTAAGAGGCCTGTTAGATTGTTTTCTGTGATGGATGACAATGGAAAGGGAAGGGAGCAAGGACAGTGAGGCTGTTGGCTTGAAACTTGTTTAAATGATACACCATGAAGTAACTACATGAGTGGGATGGGGAATGTATTTAGATTTGAGGGATATATTTGGAAAACAGAAACTGACAAACTTGAAGATCATATGTATGTGATATAAGATAGATAATTGGAAGGCTAGGAGGTTGTGGTAAGGGATTAATATATTTGAATTTTAGGTCTCAGAGGTAGAGTTTCTTAGTTTTAATGTCCAGATAATGGCCATGATAACGATTGCTAAAGTGCAGTATGAATGGAGATAAATAGCATAGTAGGAACAGATAAATGAATTCTAATTCAGCCTGTTGAGTACAGGAGAATAAAGAGTGTTGAAGAAATGTGGTCTCTCTGGTGGCCTAGGGGTAAAGTCTTCGTACTGTCGCCTCTAAGGCCTGAGAGCAATCCCTGGCCAGGGAGCTAACCCACATATGGCACAGTAGACCTACCGTGTCTTGCCTGCTGCTCCCCAGTCCATCTCTGGTGAATCCTCTCACCGCCTGCACCTCAGGCTACATCCCACTTCTTCTACGTAGACTCAATAAATGGCAACTATCTTTTTTTTTTTTTTAAGTGTTGAGGAAATGGTATCAAGAAGAGTTATCTTTAGAAAGAGGTTACATTTAAAGCAATGAGAGAGAAAAGGAATACTCTTGAGAGTTTGGAAGTTGACTTTATTGTTGAAAATTTAGAGGATTCTATAAAGAAATGACAGAGTTGGAGTCATTCCTGAGTGCAGAATTGGACATAATAATGTGATAGAAACAGATAATTCTGTCTCCAAATTAAAAGATTCTCATGATTAGGGAAAGGGTTAGCTGGTTCTTGGATAAACTGCCTTTAATCTAAAAATTCCAGCAAGCCACAATGGCTAGAATGCTTAGTACTAGAAGAATCAGAAGCTTTTGGGGACTAATGAATATATATATATATATAGAGAGAGAGAGAGAGAGAGAGAGAGAGGTCAGATTTTTATTACCACTGAGACATATAAGACATGTAAGAAGAAATTGTGTTGCATCATACTTAAAAGAGGAAATAAAACTGAAGATGACCATTTTTTTTCTCAGAGAGAAAATCTTAGAATATATCTGAGGGACACCTCAGATATTGTGGGTTCAGTTTCAGGTGACCACAAGAAATTGAATGTTGTGATGAGTCACATGATCATTTAAAATTTCCCAGGGCATATAAAAGTTATGTTCACATTACATTGCACTACATATTTCAAATTTGCTGACAGACTAGATTGGGGAGGGGGGGGGCTAGGGTGTTAATAGTGCAGTATATAAGTATGTGTGTGTATCAACAGTTGTCCAGATACTATTCATAATGTATGTAAATTATATCACAGTAAATTTTGACTATCAGTGGGTGTTTCTAAACTAGTTACATACTTGAATAATTTAAAAAACCTTTGTTCACAAATACTGCTCTTGTTCCTCATTGTTTGAAATGTCAGAAAAGAGTTCACTAAATTGTGGTATCCTCAGTTTTGTTCTGTTGTACTTAATTTTTCTAAATCAGTTTTTATATTTTTTAATTGAAATATACTTGACATTTAACTTTGTGTAAATTTAAGATGTACAGCATAGATTAGATATATCTATATATTGTAATACAATTGCCATTGTAGTGATAATTACCTTTATCACATTATATAGTCATCCTTTTTCAGTGGTTGGAATAAAGTACTACTTAGCATGGTTTTGGTGATTGTAATACAATATTGTTGTCTGCATTTATTATACAGTGCACTAGAGTTCTAGAACTTATTTAGTATCCTTAAATAAAATCTTTTCTGGGCCTCCCTGGTGGTACAGCGGTTGAGCGCTGGGTTGCAAAGCTGCCCGCAGCCTCTGCAGCGCCGGTTCGATCCCCGGCTGCTCCCCGGCCACCGGAGGAGGGTCCCACATGGCGCGCAGACCTCTCCTGCCGCCCGCTGCTCCCCTCAGCAGTGTACTTCAGTCCTTCTGCCTGCTCTGCTCCCCGCTCTGGCTCTGGTGAATCCTCTCACCCTCCCGCGCTTCTGACTGTGCCCAGTGCTTGTATAAATAAATAAATAAATCTTTAAAAAAAAAAAAAAAACAAATAAAATCTTTTCTATCCTGCTCTCCGCCCCTCCCCCCCCAACAAGTTTGTAAGTGATGATTGTAACTAACTACAACGAATCATGATTTCAGGAACATCAGGATCTGATTCCCCGGGACAGGCTGTAGAAGCTGAAGAGATAGTGAAACAACTTGATATGGAGCAAGTGGATGAGATCACTACCAGTACCACTACATCAACTAATGGAGCAGCTTACTCAAATCAAGCAGTTCAAGTGAGGCCATCAATAAATAATGGTTTAGAAGAAACAGAAGAAACAGTTAATCGTGATATCCCACCCCTTACAGGTGAAAAAAATTTCTTAATATGTTTTCACTAGTAGTTTATAAAAATACAGTATATTTTTAAGTAAGCAGATTAAATGCCGTTAGTTTTCTTGTTTGAAGTTAAGGTAATTAAAATTGGAAATAAAACTTTTTTGTAGAAATTCATTCATTTGGAAATTGAATTTAATTTCTCAATCTGTTAGTCACTTTACAGTTTAATTTTTTGTGACGCTTTTACTACTTGGAGAAATTTGACACAACTAGATAAATATATGCTCATGTTTATGAACACTATAATTACACCAGTCTGAGACTGTTAGGTCAGAAATCCCTACCTGGAGGAGTCTCATACGTTCAGGTTTATTTCATACATAGATAACATTCCCCCAAAAGAATCTTCTGTTCCCAGAACTCTCCCTGCACCCAAACTGTGCAGTCTAACTCTGAATCCTTTCAAAGACCCAACTTACTTGTTGAGCCTTGGAAATGGAAATGATGAAACACATTGAGGTCAGATTTTTATTACCGCTGAGACATATAAGACATGTAAGAAGAAATTGTGTTGCATCATGCTTAAAAGAGGAAATAAAACGAAGATGACCATTTTTTTCCTCAGGGAGAAAATCTTAGATTTTTTTTTTTTTTTTTAAGATTTAGTTTATTTATACATAGAAGAACTGGGATGTAGGCTAGAGGTTGGGGGGAAATGAGAGATTCACCAGGGACAGAGTGGAGAGCAGAACAGGTGAATGTATTGAAATCCACTGCTGAGGGGAGTAGTGGGTTAGACAGGAGAGGTCTGCTGTGCCACGTGGGTTAGTTCCCTGACCAGGGATCAAACTTATGCCACAGTGACTGCCTATAGCTTGATAGTACTGAGACTTAACTCCTGCGCCACAGGGAGGCCCCTCCCATATACTTTAAATCATCTCTAAATTACTTATAATCTGAATGCAATATAAATGCTGTATTTATAGTTCTTATACTGTATTGTTTAGGGAATAATGACATAGAAAAAAAAAAAAGTCAGTCTCTATTCATTACAGGCACATGCAACAACCATTGTAGGCCTAATTACAGTGTACATATTTTCTGTCCACAGTTGGTTGAATACCAGGATGCAGAATGTTCAGATATGGAGGGCTTAGTTGCTATAAGAACACCATGTGAATTATATGTTTATATGTGTAAATACCATTCAGTTAGAAATTGAATTTTTGTATCATATTTTTCTAATAGTAAGTAGTAAATTTCCTCTTGCGAATTCTAATTCTCTAGTGTAATCTAGCATGTCATTTTGTTTGTAGTGGTAATTTTTTCCTTTGGATTTGGAGTTAGATCTGTGTCTTAATAGATTTGCTTTTACAAAACAAACCCTTGGACTGAAAACTGAATAGTGGTTCCCAGAAGGAGATTGGGGGAGGGAATGGTAGAACAGGGCTAATTGGTAATTGATGGTGACTGGACATTTGATGGTGGGCATTGTATGATATACACATTCAGGTGAGAAACTGTACACCTGAAACCTATACAGTATTGTAAACTAAAGTTACCTCAATTTAAAAAATTGCTTGTAAATACTGTTTACAAATTATGTTTTCTTTTTAGCCTAAGATACAGAGAGCTTTAGGAGGATCTAATATAAAAGCAGTAAAAATGTATACTTCATGGAAACATTGAATAAAAGTAACATTTTGTTTTTCACTTTACTAAGTAGCCCCAGTAACTCCGGATAATGGTTACTCATCAGCGCATACAGAGGCCACCTATGAAGAGGACTGGGAAGTATTTGACCCGTGAGTTTTATTTTTTCTTTCCATTTTGAAGCAGAATGAAAGTACATGTGTAGAGGGGTAGCTGAATTGGTATAATACAAAGTACATGTGTAGAACATTTGTCCTGTGGGATTATACTACCTTTAATGAGTTAATTTGTGTATTTTCAGTTTTGTTTACATGTTTTTACAAGTTGGGTTACATAGGATAATTTCAATAAAGATTTAAAGATAGGCTGAATTTAGTAATATTGTTTTATATTTATAAAAAGTTGAAATGTTGAAATTTTCTTAATATTTGATTTATAGCTATTATTTCATCAAACATGTTCCACCACTGACAGAAGAACAACTAAACAGGAAACCTGCTCTTCCATTGAAAACAAGAAGCACACCAGAATTCTCCTTAGTTTTAGACCTGGTAAGTTTATTACCTTTGGTGGTATTGGAAATAAAAGAATTACATTCTTTTAAAAAATCACACACACACACTCTTGCCCAAAATACGTTAAAAAAAATACAAGTGAATGAATAGCCTTACACATTTACTGTAAATGTGTCCTGATACTCTAAAACATTTTCTTAAATATTTATTTTTGCTTATGCATATAAGAACTGGGGGCCAGGGGCGCAGGGTGAGAGGATTCACCAGAGACAGAGTGGGGAACAGAACAGGCAGAGTGACTGAAATACAATCCTGAGCAGGCGAGACAGGAGAGGTCCATGCCATGTGGGTTACCTCCCTGGCAGGGGATTGAACTCGTGCTGTAGTGGCTGCTGATAGCTTGATAGTGCTGATACTTAACCCCTTGTGCCACCAAGGAGGCCCCCTGAAACGTTATTATTTAAGCATAGTATAATGAAAATGCTCAGTAGCCTTGGCACCTTTGTGATTTATTTTTCAGTTATTTAATTAGAATGAAATTATATTGTTTTTCATTATAGATTTCACTTTTTTGGAGGGTTAGGATCATATTTCCTTGAATGATGAAATAAAATATAATCTGGGTCTCAGTATGTTAATCTTAGCAGGACCATACTCCTTTTTCTATTTTTTTTTGTTTTGCAAATTATTTTATACCAATAATGTTATATTACTAGACTCAGTGCTGACTAATGAAATCTTTAATATGCTCTTGATGTGATTTAAAAATTTATATTTTAGGATACTAGAGGTGCTTTGAAAATTAAATATCTGATATCTTTTGTTAATAACCAAATTTAATAAGTCCCCATATTTACCATATGCTCACAACTTCTCTATATTAGCAAAAAATACATATCTATTATATAATATTGGAAAACTTTTTATTATTTAGCCTTTGTTACTGGTTTCCTATAATTAGAGAAGTGGTTTAGTTCTCAAATAGTTTATCTTGAGGAAAAGCATATTTTTAATATTAACTAGCATGAATAATGTTTTGATAGTTTAACACCTCATTAGGCCTTACCTAGCCAAAGACACATAAAAGAGGTATCCAAAAGTCTCAGATAATTTATTAAAGAGTGAGTAGAAAGAGCATTTTTGTAACTGGTTATGAATAATTCAAATCTGATATGACGTTAGTGAAGAAATTGAAAGAGCTTTTTCCTAGATTTTTATATTAGGCATTGATGTGGTCATGATAGCAAGTTTGGCATATAATTTTTAATCCTATGTGAAAGTAAACAGCAAAGGAACAATAAGAATGAGTTAACATTAGATTATTTATAGAAGCAAATAAAGAAGTATGAACAATATTTAGGTAGACTACATCATAAAGTAAAATTGGTTATGATTCAAATGTAGACAGAAACTATCTTTTTTTTTATTGCTGGGAGAATATCTTGGCATTTATAGTCTTGTATGCTATTAAAAGAAAATGAGGCATATCTAGAGTATTTTTTGCTCATTGCCTCCCTACAGTTTAACTTTAGGTTAAAAGAAACACACCAGCTAATAAGATGTGAGATCACAAGGTATGAATATTTGTGCTTCATTTTAATTCATCTTAATCATATTGAAAAATTTTGGGGGGTTATAACAACTTTATTTTAAAAAATTTGTACAGATGGAAATCCTGTTTGTTTTTTAAGAATTCAGAAATTGAGAAACATGTTTGCACATCGCTTAGGATGATTCTGATCTTATCCTCTTTATGAGAAAAATGAGAAAATAGGTCTTGGTTGTCAAAGTTGACAATCTTTCATTGACTGCCAAGTTAGTTAAACAATGTTTATGAAACTTACTCAGATACTAAATCACCCATCATCAACGTAAAATTCTTTTTTTTTTTAATCTTTTTTTTTTTTTTTAAGATTTATTTATTTATTTATACAAGCACTGGGTACAGTCAGAAGCGCGGGAGGGTGAGAGAATTCACCAGAGCGGGGAGCAGAGCAGGCAGAAGGACCGAAGTACACTGCTGAGGGGAGCAGCGGGCGGCAGGAGAGGTCTGCGCGCCATGCGGGACCCTCTGCCGGTGGCCGGGATGCAGCCGGGGATCGAACCGGCGCTGCAGAGGCTGCAGGCAGCTTCGCAACCCAGCGCTCAACCGCTGCGCCACCGGGGACGCCTTTTTCTTTTCTTTTTTTTTTTTTTTTTTTTTTTTTTTTTTTTTAGATTTATTTATTTATTTATATAAGCACTGAGTACAGTCAGAAGCGCGGGAGGGTGAGAGAATTCACCAGAGCCAGAGCGGGGAACAGAACAGGCAGACTGACGAAATACACTGCTGAGGGGAGCAGCAGGCACGGCAGGAGAGGTCTGCACGCCATGTGGGATCCTCGCCAGTGGCCGGGGATCGAACCGACACTGCAGAGGCTGTGGGCAGCTTCGCAGCCCAGCACTCAACCACTGCGCCACCAGGGAGGCCCCCAAAGTAAAATTCTTCATAAAAAGTTTAAGAACAAGGAGCTCCATCAGTATAATATATGCATTTTATTTTATTTTTTGTAAAGATTTATTTTTCTATACAAGAGCTGGGATACAGGCCAGAGGTGTGGAAGGGTGAGAGGATTCACCAGAGACAGAGCGGGGAGCAGAACAGGCAGATGATCGAAATACACTGCTGAGGGGAGCAGCGGGTGCGACAGGAGAGGTCTGCCACCCCATGTGGGAATTTCCCTGGCAGGCCGGGAATCAAACCCGGGCTGCGGAGGCTGCAGACACTGCAGACAGCTTCACAGTGCTGCGCTCAACCCGCTGCGCCACTGGGGAGGCCCATAGAATATATGCATTTTAAAAATAATTCTGAACTTCCATTTGCTAGTTAGTTTGCTGAGCTCCACTCTACCTTCTGATAAGTTTCTGAATGGTGAGAAGTGGAGCTGGAGAATTTGCATTTCTAACTAGTGTCCAGGTGATGCTAATGCTGATTGCTAGTCTAGGGACCATACCTGAGAACCAGTGACTTAGAAAAATCTGGCCCAGACTGCTACACCACACACAATAATAAACATAAAATTCTACTTAATAGTGAATGCTTTAATAATGGTTTTTGTAATCATTCATAAAGTTATTTGAAATTTCTTTTCATATCTTGATTCATTCAGTATGTCCTTTTTATTTTAAGGATGAAACACTAGTACACTGTAGTCTAAATGAACTAGAAGATGCAGCACTTACTTTTCCAGTCCTTTTTCAAGATGTCATTTATCAGGTAATTTAACTTTTTTTTAACTTGATATTTCGCCTACTAGATAACATTCTGAACCAAGAATCTTTTGTAATTTTTTTTTGGGTGAAGTTTAATATGTTTTTTCCTAATGAATTTAATCAGTATTTTAATGACTTGCTAACACAGAGTAGCTTTATGCTAAATTGCAAAAAAAAAAATCATTAATTTGTTACAAAAGTTATAAACTTTTTTTACCCAGTGAACTCTGCTAGTTTCATGATCTGTTTGCCAGCAGGTGGAGGCAGAAGCACTGACATAGATCTCCGAGAAGAACTTCCAGGTTGACACCTGGAACTGTCCAATTAATATAAAGAAAACTCATTCCTTGTTGGTCATATTTATTTCCTTTTTAGTAATGTGGTCTGTAGATTTCAGTTTGGTAGATACTGCTTTATTTTAATCTCAAAATTCCAAGGCACATTTTCAGTTGTTGCTTTACTTAAAAATTTAGGTATCATGTGTGTTTATGTTACAGGTAACAGTGCAAATATCATTTACATTTCATTTTGAATTATATGGATAGGGCACAGTTTTTACTTAATGTTTGAGATTTTCCTATTATAAAATTAATATATGTTAAATACACTTTGAAGATTGCAAAGTGCCTTTCTGTGGTGGTGGTGATTATTTAATTAGCATAGCTTTATATACACCAGACCAATTGTTGAAGGATTGGGTCAGAGTCAGAAAGTTTTTGTCCTGAGGAAGCCAGCCCAAGGATTAACTAAGAACATTGACCATGTGGATGGGAACAGGTGTTTATGGTTGTTTGTGTACTCTTACCTAGGCAGTTAGAATGTGAGTATAGTTTTCTTGGCAGATAATAGTTACTATCTCAGGATCAAAAATTTCAGTTAAATAGAAGTTTGTGGTAATGAGCCATAAGAGGATTTTGGGTAGGAGTAGTGTCGGTTTTAGTTTAACTTACTTGTGCAAGTCTGATAAGATCTGAATACTGTATTTACTTTTATGTAAGCTGATTTTAGTTTTGATATATGATGGAGGATCAGAAAAATAAAAACGGGTTTTTAAGAATTTTGTGATCCTTTTTTAACTAGATATTTAGTATAAGGTAAATAAACCTCTTTCTTATTAAGAAGACATCTCCTGACTAGGTTGTTCTTGTTTTAGTGCACGTCAGGGATGTGAGTCTTAGGGCAATTATAGAGTGATAGCAATATCTTAGTTCTCCTTTTTAAGCTTTATAACCTTGGTTATTTGTTCAAATTATACTTAAAATGATGACTTACAGGCTTTGAATTTGGAAAGGAAAGCTGTTACTTGAAAAATGTAATTTGAGATGACTTCTTACAGATTTGAAATTTATTTCTTTTAGCTGGTTTTGGTCTGTTAAAATTTTGAATAAGCAGCTTGGAAAGTAGACGAGTTTGATTCTTCCCCTTCATGAGCAATTCAAAAAACTGAATTTTTTCTTACTGCTGCCACTATTTCTGCTTAAATTCTCTTATTTATAAAGTTCTTATTTTCATGTGGATCTGGATAGTTGTCTTATTTTGAATAAAAGGCTTGTAACAGTGCATATGACTAAGACTTAAAAAACAGCATATACGTACTGAGTCTACCTCTGGAATTCAAATAACTCCTTTTTCTTACATAGTCTGAATTATACTTTCTGAAATTAAAATAAATGATCTAGTCTAAATCAGGAACAGTAAGCCACAAGTTACACAACTCTTACTTACAAGTTATAGAGATGATTGCATTTTAATACTGTGATTTAGTTACTACATCATAATACAGTTTAGTTTCCCCTTTAGTAAATTTTTGAGGATGTCCGTAGTTAATATTGGGTACAGTCCCTTGAATTTCTGGTTTTGGCATAGCCATTCTGTCTGATTCTGATTTTTTAAAAATAACTTTGAGAAAAAAATAAATAACTTTGAAGAAATCTTGGGTTAGGGTTCCCCCAGTTTTCAGACCAGCAAGCTCCCTTTAAACAGGGAATGATGTCTTTTAAACTTTCAGTGGTGTTGTCTCCATCTACTGGCAAAGAAGAAATATACACAAGGGTCTGAGATGATCTAAGAGATTTTGGAGAAACCACATTATTAGGTAAGATGTAACTTACATATTTAACCACTACAATATAATGTGGCCAGTTAAAGGTAGAAATCTGTAAAATACTGTATATACTCTTGAAAAAAAATATATATATATATACTCTTGAAAAATAATTTATTAAGGTGGAATTTATGGCATAAAATTTTGAAGTACAAAGTTACATGACATATGTCTGTGTACTCTGGAATATTTCAGTTCAATATAATTTATGTGTATACTTTCAAAAATAAAGTGGTAATGTTGAGGAGGATCAAATTTTTCATCTCAGTGTCCTCTTGGGACTTCTTGCTTTCTTTTTATGGTAAGTTTGTTATAGTTGATCTCTATCTAATTTAAATTCTACTTGTTATTTCTTTCAAAAACAAATAGTCTTACATAGGTTTTAGTAATCATCTGATCAGGGGTTGGCAAAATTTTTTATATAGAGATATTAATATTTTAGGTCTTGCAGTCTTCTGTTGCAGCTGTTTTTTCTGCTGTTGTAGAGTAAAAGTGGTCACAGATAGTACATGATCAAATAAACATGGCTGTGTCCTAATAAAACTTTACAAAAATAAATGACAGTCTGGATTTGGCCTACAGGTTGTTGTTTGCGGACCCCGGTCTAATAATTGAGAGTATATACAGTAAATTTACATAGTTAAATTCTAAGTAGAAGTCAGTAATCGAATATCATCAAAATTTTTGTTGATAGAGAAATTTTAAATTAGATCCATTGCAATCTGGTTGTGGGCTTTCTTAGTTGTTTTTTTTCTCTCCAGATGGAAGTTTGAGGGAAATTTGAGGTGGCCACTTCACATTTAAAGATTGCCTGATTTCATGAGATATACTTCTTTTGGATGATAAGTAGAACTCAGCTTGGTTAATGCAAGTCTTAGACTTTATGAGCAGGTAGATTATTCAATTCTCAATTTAGTATCTTGAGTGTATTTGAATTCCATTTCTCTAAGAGATAAAATTAAAAGATCCACCTCAAGTTAAAATTTGATGTATATTAATGCTGACATTATATGAATAGACAGATTATAGTTTGTGTATATGGAGAAAAAACTCATTTGAAAAAATAACTGAATTTTTAAAGTGAGGATGTGGCATTCCCAAAGGCAAAATATGTAGATTTTTGTTTGAATGGGTTTCTCCTCCCCCTGCCCCTCAAGGTGATAGTTTTTTTCCCCCACAAATTGTTTTACATTTAGTTACTGGGAAAACATAATTTATTCATTGAATGGTACAGATGCATTTGATATCTGGAAAAACAAGTGCATGATCAGTTCCAGTGCACATGTTTAATCTTTATATTTAGCTTTTGATGACACATTATCAGGAAATCCATCTCGTGGTGTTACTCAGTTAAGAGGTCTCCACTGTATTTAGTTTCTGTTCCTGCAGATCCACCAATTCAAGACTCTAGGTCATCTCAGTCCCTCTTCCATCCAGAAGATGACTTCTATCCACAAGCAGGACTGAATCAAAAGACAGATTTTTCACTCAGCTCTTGAGCTGAACCACCTCCTCAATGACCTTCCTCTATCTCCATCAAGAACTGGAGCTCAGTTTTTGAAGATGTAATAGAGCTACTCAGCCCAAACGTGGCTAATTGAAGACAAAAAGAAGATGCCTCATATGTTTCACCACAGTACAGCCAAACGTAACTGTGTTGTCCAACTCCTGATTCTGTAAAGTATGGCAGGGCATCTGATTTTTCACTTTGTTCAATAAGACTTTAAGCAATCAGTGGCTTTCTGTAAAATCAACAAACTTTGGGTCAGCTGTCCAGAAATCAGGTTGTGGTAAGCACTCAGGGAGAGATAGGAGACTTAGGGAGCTACTTACTGAAGGATGCTTTATTAGTAGAGGTTGTGTGAATAGCTGGAGGGAGAGTTTTGTGAGAAACTCATATTTAGCAAAGTTTAACCTCTTCCCCATTATTGACGTGTACTTGGGAATTTTAATAGTCTAGGATAATTTTCATAAGGATCGCAACTATTTTATACCAAGTAACAAGGGAAATAGAGGTTAGTGACTTTTTTCTCTTGTTTGCAGTTTTTTTTCAGAAAAGCCATCACAATTTTTGAAAACAGAAAGTCTTTTTAAGTGAAGAATTTTGTAGCAAATATACCTAATCAAGTTTTTCTTATCTGAAGTTCTGACTTTAGCGATAGTAACAAAGAGGGATTTTGTTTTGATTTTAATAAGGCATAATTACTTGTGCCTTTCTGGATATTTAGTATTGAGGATAAAAGCAATACTTTAGTTGGTAGGAAATAACATTTAGATAATTATAATCAAATCTTAAAAATTTAAATTAACTTTTACTAAGTATAGTTGTTGGTACTAATTTTTTCATCATAATTCTCCATTATTTTTAGGTTAAAAATAGGTGAAACCTATTGTTATCTATTTCTCAAATACAAGAAAACATTTCGTGGGGAATTATCTAAAATGTATCTTAAAAATGGAAGCAGTTCATTAAAAAATACTTGGAAAAGTTCTTCATCAGCTGAAAATGTTCTGCAAATTTAGGAGAGTGACAGTTGATCTAAGACTTTTTGAGACTTCAAAGTTTAGAACTTTTGAAGGCAACCTTTTGTTTTTAAATGACTTTAAACTTTAATATAGACACATGATTATTATATGTACACAAGTATATGTATACTCATTTAAATAAAAATAATGGCCAGTTGTTACTTGATGAAAATTATGCTCTGTTGCTGTTAATATGCCACCATATAAATACGTTAATTTTCATTTTATCCCACTTGGAATCTAAGAAAATTCCTTTTCACGTTTATCTTTATTTAATATAGAACACAGTTTCATAGAAGTTGATTTAGTTTGAGGATTTTTGATTTTTATTGGTTCTGATGTTTACCCCCAGATTGACTGACTTGCAAATACTT